CGGCCCTGCCAGGCCCCGCCTGTCCTGCTTCAGGACTTGCTTGGTTTCTTTCTTCTGATGCTCCTGGGCGATGAGATTTCTCATTCTCTTCTGAGTTATCTTTTTTTTATTGTTGTTATTGATGTCAGAGAGGAAGGGAGAGGGAGAGAAACATCAATGATGAGAGAGGATCATGGATCGGCTGCCTCCTGCACGCCCCACACTGGGGAGCGAGCCCGAAACCTGGGCATGTGCCCTGACTGGGAATCGAAGCGTGACCTCCTGGTTCACAGGCCGATGCTCAACCACTGAGCTACGCCGGCCGGGCTCCTAAGTTATCTTTATAGAAGAATTACTTTGTATTTCATCCTTTTATCTAGTTTTTTTTTGTGTGTGTGGTTATTTGCCAGTTTCCATAATCTGGTCTTTTAAATGGTACAAAACAAAGAAAGCACAAACCAAAAAAAGAGCACTTTTTAAAAGTATATGTTTTTGTTGATTTTAGAGAGAGAAGAAGGGAGTAGGATAGAGAGATAGAACATTGATGAGAGAGATCAATCGGCTGCCTCCTGCATGCCCACAACCGGGGACTGAACCCGCAACCCTGATATGTGCTCTGACCGGGAATCAAACCAGTGTCCTCTTGGTTCATGGGTTGATGCTCACCCACTGAGCCACACCAGCCGGGCAAAAGAGTACGTTTTAGCACTGCTACTTACCACCCACACTGTGCCTGGTCCCCAGAGGGCACCGCTTTCCGAAGGAGAGATGGCAATTCTGGGACTTTTCAGTTGGAAATAGGAGGATGAGGGGTCCCCAAGTTGAGGGAGGGTCCGTCTGTCCTGTCTCCTTACCATCGGGTTCTATCAGAGCTGAGTCAGGAGGTGCAGGTGGCAAACATTACGTGTGGGGACGCGCACAAGTCAGCCTTAGAGAACTCTCCGTGTTCGTCTGTGCCCAGGTGGTGGGCATGCATGAGGGGAGTGAGTCTATCCCAGTGATGGCGAACCTTTTGAGCTCGGCGTGTCAGCATTTTGAAAAACCCTAACTTAACTCTGGTGCTGTGTCACAGATAGAAATTTTTTGATATTTGCAACCATAGTAAAACAAAGACTTATATTTTTGATATTTATTTTATATATTTAAATGCCATTTAGCAAAGAAAAATCAACCAAAAAAATGAGTTTGCGTGTCATAGGTTCGCCATCACTGGTCTATGGTGAAGGAGGCGGCAGACAGAGAGTGTGTTCGGAGGAATGTGCCCTTGGTCCCCAGCCCCAAGTTTAGTGAACACACCGACCCTGACACCGGGTCCCTCTCCCGGCTGCTTGAGTGATGCGTTTTCAAGGTTCCCGCGCCTTCCAGCTCCCCGTGTGGCGGGATTGGAAGCAGCTACAGCCGAGCCCATCGCAGTGTTTCCTTGGGGTCAGACAGGATGAGGTTCTGTAACTCCCCTCGCTCTGGGGTCAGGACCCTGAAGTGACCGTGCTATAGGAAGCACGTCCTCTGGGAGCACCTGAGAGAGGTCCCCTCTCCCCACGAGGCCGCTGGGGCAGGTGTCCGCAGCTCCTGCAGGGGGATGTGGGTTAACCCACCAAGTCCTCAGATTTATTCTTTCGAAGAGGCTCTTCTGACATAACGACTCTCGCCGGGGTTTCCGCAGCGCATCCCGTCGGGCGGAGACGGCCAGACCCTGAAGTTCTTCGGCCAGTCCATCCACGGGGAGATGGACCTGAACGGGGACGGCCTCACCGACGTGACCATCGGCGGCCTGGGCGGCGCCGCCCTCTTCTGGTGCGTATCCGAACCCGCCCACGGCGTCCGCTGCTTCACACGGAGTTCCAGCGCCGCGGGGACCGGGCGGACAGCAGACCAAGTGTCCATTTCCCTCTGCGCCCCATCACTCAGATAGAAATACGCAGTTTCGTAGGCTGCAGAAGTCAATAATCATTAAAGGAACAAGTAGAATCAACCCTTCATGTTCTCAGCCTTTAAAATGCCTGCATCCCCAAAGCAATTAACTGTAGAATCTAGTTTATGGTCAGATACATATATTAGTGTCATTGTATTTGTTTATTACTAAAATAACTTATTAATCAATAGCATTAAGAACCCTAGCTTTAATTAGTTAAAAACAATTTCATAAAGGGTTCTGTTTGAAAAAAAGCTGGTTAAAATATATGAAGAATAACATTAATGAGAATTTTGTATGAAACATTTTAAGAAGACTTTATTAAGAAATACAAAGGAAAGATTTAATGAATAAAATTATACTTAGGATATGAGCCTTGATGGAAAGTTCACAGGTTGGTTCTTCCACAGTGACCACTGGCTTAATGCAGGTGGAAGCAAACCACAATGGCATTTCCCCCAAAATGTACCTAGAAGAGCAGTAAAGAAAACTGAGAAAGACCGAGTGAAGATGGAGACCTAAAAGTCATGGCTTTGTCATAATATAAGGCACAACTAATGGTCAAATGAAAAGTGTATACTAAACCACACACAGATAATAACCATTATGTTAAGAAATGTTTTAGCTATACATGTCACTACATATACAGTTACTACACATATAACTGTATACAGGTGCTAGCCATAGAACTATGTATAGTTGTTATACATAGAACTATATACAGGTGCTAGGCATATAACCGTGTACAGTTGTTGTACATAGAACTATGCACAGGTGCTAGGCATTTAACCATGTACAGTTGTTGTACGTAGAACTATGTGCAGTTGTTACACATAGAACTATGCACAGGTGCTAGCCATAGAACTATGTGCAGTTGTTACACATAGAACTATGCACAGGTGCTAGGCATTTAACCATGTACAGTTGTTGTACGTAGAACTATGCACAGGTGCGATGCACATCACTGCAGTGTACAGGTGACAGTGATGTATAACCAGAGAGGAGAGTAACCTGAAAGGCGGTGCCTGGGGAAGGGTGCAGGGGGAGGGGGGTGCAGGCTGGGCCGCCAGAGGCTGTGCCCTTGGGCAGGCTCCCTAAAGCCAGTCACTCATGTGGGAGCAGAGAGGACATACATTTCATTTTCATTTGAACCGTTGGTGCTGAATTAAGTGAGCATGTCGCCCTCGCGGAGAGGGGGAGACACGGGGAAAGTGAGGCGCTCCCGGGGCTCAGAGTCCAGGCGAAATGCCCGGCAGCAGGGAGAGGTTGGCCCCTCCGGGAGGAAGCGGGAGAGCAGCTGGAGTGGGTGTTTGTGGCGAGGCTCCCTGGTCGCGCTGGGCGCCCTGTCCCCTCTCCCGGGCGAGTCCCTGCTCCTGCTCGAGCCTCCGGGGGGCGGGGAGGGGGTTTCTGACGGTGGTCCCCAGGCAGGTGAGGGTCAGGGAAAGCCCGCCCTGCCTGTGCTGCTTCCCACGGGCCTGCAGCTCAAACAATCAGCCAGTCACGGGGCATGTGTGGGTGGCGCGCCCTGAGCTCCCCAGGTCAGATTTCGGGCCGGCATCGCCTGCCCTTTACAGACAAAGCCCAGGACGGTGCCCAAGCCACCCGAGTGTCCCCAGAGCATCAGCCACCGTCTGGTCTGGACCAGGTTCTGCAGAGAAGCGGAGCCGTGGGGCCGTGGGGTCCACAGAGAGCCACCCCGATGCTCTCTGAATCCCCACGTGGTGGCGTCCGTCACCCGTGAGAACACGGGAGTGATCACTGTGGTCTGTGTCTTTCCAGGGCCCGAGACGTGGCTGTGGTTAAAGTGACCATGAACTTTGAACCGAATAAAGTGAATATTCAGAAGAAAAACTGCCGCATGGAGGGGAAGGAAACCGTGTGCATCAACGCGACCGTGTGCTTCCATGTGAAACTGAAGTCCAAGGAAGACACGGTCTACGAGGCTGGTGAGCCCATGCACACGGCAGCTGCTGGGGGGCAGGGGGGGCAGTGCCGGGTCCGGTATAAAGGCTTTGGCCAGGCGTGGGGTTCCCCTGGGCAGGGATCTGCATAGCCGGGTGCCCCTAGGAACACGTGGGCCCTGAAAAAACCTGCCGAAGGAACCCCGAAAATCTGGAGCGGATACTCCGTCCCAGGGTTCCCCAGTAGCTCTGCGCTTACTGTAGACAATCAGGTGTTTAAAAAATAAAGCAAATAAACAGGAGAGAGGGCGTGAGGGAGGGAGGGAGAGAGAGAGAGAGAGAGAGAGAGAGAGATTAGCCCAATCCTGTGGGTTTGCCCTAAAAGGCCTCCCTTCCGCTCCCGCCCTCTGCCCTCTGCCGGTGGGACTGGGGTTGCAGAGGATGAAGAGCTGTGCCACCTGCTCCCCAGAGCCCTTGGCTCCACTGGGGTGACCCTGGCTGCTGAGAGTCAGACATTTGGGGACACCCCTGCAGCCCGGCCTCCGCCTCCCCACACACAGTACTCTCCGAGGCTTTTAAAAATGACACTGAAATGCGTTCAGTCACTTGGTTGTCTCTCACTAACCCCCCTGCCGGCCTGGTCGCCCCACGCAGCCTGCTTGTTCAGTCGTTTGGTCATCCCTCACTAACCCCCCTGCCGACCTGGTCATAGGCAGCCATCTTGTGAGGGTGTGAGGGTTAATTTGCATATTACCTCTTTATTTGTATAGGATAACATAATCAATATTCTAAGCAAGTAAATCCAACAAGCACAGACATGGTCAGCAAGTTAGGTGACATGGAAGTGAGTGTGTGTATGTGTGTGTACATAAATATCCTATATAATAAATAGGTAATATGCAAATTGACCATCACACCCTCACAAATGGCTGCCTACAACCAGGCCGGCAGGGGGGTTAGTGAGGGACAGCCAAACGACTGAACAGCAGGCTGCGTGGAGTAACCAGGGGGGCAGTTTGGGGCGACCAGGCCAGCAGGGGGTGTAGTTGGGGGCGATTAGGCTGGTAGGGGGGGCAGTGAGGGGTG